TATATATTAAGGAGTATTTATACTAAGTAGGAATGATATGCATGCATTTCAACCTTAAAGTAATCAGCTCTGTGAATTATCCAAAAGTGCCTCTGTACCTAGTTTTATTAAAATTTGGTGAATGGTACTGAAGTTATCTGTGGAGCACCTATAAATTTGTTAATTTATGCAAATTAGGTAATTAGTAAGCACAAAAATTCAACCCTAAACTTAATGTATAAATGGCTTATCTTATCTCATTGAATGTGATGAGAGGTTGAGATACTGGTGGAAAAGTAAAATAATGGCAAATAAATATGCAAATAGATCATTAATATGCATGGACCCAGAGCATATGTATCAAGTTTCATTGAAATCTGTGAATGGTTCTTGGGAAACAAGTGAAGATGTTTAAAATTGGTTGATTATTATGCAAATTAGGTGATTAAATGCTCAGAATTTCAACCAAAAACCAATCTTGTCTGCATATTATACGAGCATAGGTTCTGGTAAAAATGTGTGCATATTAATTACCTAATTTACATGATAATTAGCTATTTGTTAGCTTCTAAAGAACCACTCATTGGATTTTGCATAGATAGATGCACAGATTTGATTAGTTTTGGGTAAAAATCTGTGCATATTAATTACCTAATTTTCATAATGATTAGTCAATTTCCGGCTTTTCTACTGATATCTCAAGTACTAATCATTACATTTCAATGAAACTTGGTACATAAATGCTCTAGGACAATAGACAGGCCTGATTAATTTTGGGTTGAAATCTGTACATGTTAATCACCTAATTTTCAGTTTTTTATACTTAAGTAGTAATAACATTTCAATGAAACGTGGTACATATATTCCCCAAGGACTATGCTGAGATCTGATTAGTTTTTGTATGAATATTTGTGCATATCAATTTATAATGTTTAGGTACTAATCACATTTCAATGAAACTTGGTACATAGATGGTCTGTTACATTGCGCAGACCTTTTTAGTTTTACATTCAAATCTGTTCATATTAATTACCTGATTTGCATAATTGGTTTTCAGCTTTTCCATCAATATCTCTAGTACAAGTAATTTTGAATTAATTTTTAGTGTGTTCCCAATACTCCCAGGACATGGGAGTTCTTTCTAAGCTTTCTTTGATTTGAAATATAAAAATGGCCATCAAAGTCTTATGATCACTAAAATGTGTTTTTTATGACTCCTAAAAATGGTGCAATTGAGTACTTCCGGGTTTTACAAAATTCAAGATGGTGGCCTAACCATTTGAATAATCAATAATTTGCTTCAGTTACTTTGTGGATAGAACAAGTAGAGTACATACCTAATTTTTCAGGCTAAATGGTATAACTGTTTTCAAGAAGTCGTTACATTGTCTGAACCGCATTAAGCTTTTACATATAGTGCT